CAGCCGCTTGCCCTAGGCCCCCACAGAACGACAGATCCAGCCGGGGTGGCAGCTTCTCCCTCAGCCCAGCACTGCTCCTACCTTGCTGGAAGCTTCAGCCTGGATGGACCCACCCCTGGCTCCTCAACCCAGGGGCATGGGGGGGGGGTCCCTTGAAGCCTGCAGCCAGTTTGTTGGGTTGTGGCACCATCTGGTGGTAGATCCTGGGACCCATTCCTCGGCTGGCCAGGAGAGGGCAGCCAGTCTTTCAGAGGGAGGGAGCACTCTGGCACTGAGGGATAGATACTAGGACACTAGCCAGGTCTGTGGCCGTTCGAGGCCTCCGCCCTTCATCTGACCCCATAGTCTCCCATCAACTCCTTTGGGCCATTGCCTAGGCATAGGGGTGGGCCCCAGTTCTCACCGCCAGCACTGTCCACGCCCAGCAAAAGCTGAGTAGGGGCAGAGGGCAGAGAGCAAGGCAGCCAGGTGTTCTGGATTCTTGACCCAGTAAAGACCTGGGAAGGTGACCCTTAACCTTGGCACTGACCATGAGGCCCTCTGGCCATGCTAGCACCCCAGGCACTGCTATCTGGCTACCAGGAACTGATGGGCATGGGGGTACTGAGAAGGGGTGAGCCTAGCTGGGTGAGGTTCTCAGGGGGTTACTCTTGGTCCAGGCAGGGGTAGGCACATTTAATTCCTCCATCCTGGGGCACAGGAGTCCCAGCAGTCCCCAGCATGGTCACCTTCCCAGCCTGGAGTCCCCAATATACCAGCTGGTGATAATTTATTGAGGCTGTGTGTTCCTGAGAGGATTTTTCTGACATTCTTATCATCTCTCTGATCCTTAAATAAAAAGTGTGAGCAGTGGGTGTCCAGAGTCACCCAGGAAGGGGAGACAAGTGGCCTGCCATGGCCTAGGCCCTGGGAGGTGCTCAGCCACGCTGGGGACACGGCAAACATGGGCGCATTGCCCCCCTCATCTGAGCCTCAGCCTCTGAAATGAGACTACCTTGGGAGGACTTCACGGCCCCAGCCCCTTCAACACCCTCCTCTGATCTTCACCTGCATCCCATTCTCAGGGCCCATTCCCAGTCGGTTCTCCATCTTGCAGGGCCGCCCCACAGGCTGGAGAGGGAAGGGGAGCTGCCCAGCACTCAGCACATGTGTACACCTGCCAGAAGCACGCCTGCCCTCTCGCCCTGGGTGGGGCAATCACTCCCCAGGCCGCCCCATTCCTCATATGGCCACACCCAGTGGATCCGTCCATCCCCCTGGCTATGAGTCTAGGGGCACCTGGGAAGTGACCCTCAGAGCCCCATGGGCCTCAGCCATGGTTCAGCCTCTATTACACACTCAGAGCAAAGGACAACTCACTTCCCAGGCCCAGGCAAGGAGGTGAGGGACCAAGAGTGACCTGAACGCCCAGGTAAGAGGGGAAACAGTCCGAGCTGCTCCAGGAAGCCTGCTGGGACTGAAGGACATGCAAGGCTGCTCTGAGGGCTGCGGGGGGAGGGTCTGGGCCAGGAGTCCAGGTTTGGGGGCGCAGAGATGGGGCTCTTCCTGAGAGGCGGTGGCTGGCCCAAAGACCCCTCGAGTTCCATCTGCTCTGGAACTGTTTTTCAACTTTTGAAATGAGTGTGGGCATTGAATGTTGAGGCCACAGTGAGCCCAGGCAGGTGTGCTTGGCAGGAAGGGTGTGGGCTTCCTATCCCTCCCCAGACCAAACTTTGCTCACGGGCTCCAGGCTCCCTGAGTCCAACGGGTGTCATGGCAACTTGGGCAGGAAACATGGTAAGGGGGCCCATGGCCTGGTGCCCCCCACCTTACGCTAGAGCCACGTCTTCCACCCTTGACCAGGTTTCGGTCTGCACAGGACCCTGTCCTGGAGCTCAGATAGATGCAGCTCCCCCTACCCCAATGCAGGACACTGATTTGCAGGGTGCTTTGCAACCATTAGAATATCTGTTCCCATTTGTGGAAATGCCACCATAGATCTCCAGCACCCTCTTTCCCTCTGAGAGCCCCCCTCACCCTTTGGGGTGTTCTTGAGCTTAGGGACACAAGGATGGGGTAAAGAAGGAAGGTTTCAGAGAAGTGGGGTCTTTGGGGCTGGGCTTGAACCTCCAGCACACAGGAACACAGCCTGGGTAAAGGTGTGGGTGCATCAGGGAGCCCCGGATTCGCAGGCTGGGAAGGGAGGCCTCCCAGGGTCATAGGCAGTGGAAGGATGCAATGGGTGGAGCCCAGGCTCCTGTGTCACCTGGCTGGCCCAGACTCCTCCTGAAGCCCACTTTGGGATTGTCCTTACCTTTGGGCCTCTCAGCCTGGCCTGTGTACCCTTGATGAGATCTGAGCCTCAGCTTGGGGTGACAATCCAACACTTGTGAGAGACAGCAGGGACACAAGGGATACTCTGGCAAACTCCCCAAGCCATTTCCCACTCCAGCCAGACCAAAGAACTGCAGAGAATAGATGTTTGCCCAGAGTCAGCAGGCCTTCCTTCCAGGGGCCTGCCATGAGGACCCTCGAGCTCCTAACAGGAGCAGAAACGTGCATTCCGCTCTTTCCTGCCTCCCTTATACACAGGAGTAGAAAATCCAGACATTTGAGGACAATATCTAATAGGAAGTCCTAAGAGCAAACAGAAAAAAAGGAACCAAAAAGAGAATAGAAAAAAATGCAGGAAAGAAAAAAACAAAATGGTTCTCCTCCCCCCCAAACCCAATTGTCCCTAAAACAGAACAGGATGCTCTGAAAAAAAGAATAGGGGCATCTCTAAGGACAATAATGATGTTTTGGAAATTTAAAACATGATTGCTGAAATTCAAAAGACCAGCAGCTGAGCCTGGCCTGGAGGACATGGGGACCCCCTTCAAATTCCTGTGGGAAAACACACTCTGAGCTGATTCTCTTGTTAGCCTCTCAAGCCCAACAAGCGTGAGATCAGAGTAAGATGCTCTCAGACCTGTGAGGGGTCTCACTATTTATTCTCATGTGACAAACCACTCCAAAACTTCACAGCTAAAACAGTTTAACCCAGGACTTGGCAACTTGGCTGCCCTGTGTGGCTGTTCTCCGAGGGTCTCACTGGGCTTCTGGTTTGGATAACAGAAGCCTCTCTCTTGGGGACCTCACTTGCTATGTATAGCAAGGCCTCCCCCACAGCAGAGGGTCCCTAGAGCAGCAAGAGACAGATCAAGGCCCAACACACAAACATTGAAGCCTCTATGGCCAACACGTTATTAAAAATCCATTGGCTCAAGTAATGCCCCAGGCTAGCCTGGAGTTCAGGGTGAAGAGATGGACCTCATCTGTTCCTGTGTTGATGTAAAGAGGGCAGAGTCACGTTGCAGAGAGACAAGACCACACGAGAAGAGGGATTTGTGGCCATTTCTACTGCACACAGATGCGAATTTCCTCTGATCCACATTTCCGAGGCCCTTCCTTAAGGATGCATTTCCATGGAACAAGGGAGGGAATGAAGAAAGAGGTCATGGAAACAGGGACTCCAGGAGCAGTGGCGGGGGGTGGGGAGAGTGTGGCGTGAGGCGGGTGTTGCGGTACACAGCCGGTGTGATGCAATCTTGGAAAGAAGGGAGGAGAAACAAACCAGGGCCCTGAATCTGGCTGCACCCCTGGACGCACACTCTGCAGTCATTAGAAAGACCACTGAAGCCGATGAAGCTGAAATCCGATCCCATCACTTAACAGCAGTGTGGCCTTGGGCAAGTGACAGTCTTCTTGCCTCAGTTTCCCCACCTACAAGGAGAGGATAACAATTGTCCTTACAGGATCACGAAAGTAAATGTTCAATAAATTATTTTTAAAAGAAATACATAAATAATAAATAAAACAAACAAACCTTAGAGATGTGTTAGGTAAACAAGCCAGGCTGTGGGATGGTCTCGTCTGTATGGAGAAGGGAGTGAGGCCAGATGCCCAGCTGAGCAGGACACGCAGCCGTCCTGGAAGGGTCTTAACAACCTGGCTAATGGGGGCGGGGAGGGGAGGCTGAGGTGGGGGGGGAGGATCACACCGGACACCTTGTTTGTTGTTTTAACCATGTGTCTGCACTATGTGTTATACATTTTAAGAAAATAGCTAAGGCAGGTGGAATGGGGAAGATGCAGAGAGGGTGACCAGATGAGGGTACTTCAGGAACAGGGACACAGTGGGAGGGGCCCCACCAGCCCTGCCCATTATGACCTCCCTGGTTGTGCCCAGGCCTTTGTGACAAGCACCCCTGAATTGGACCTGTGAGCCGTAACACCTGGAGCTCTTTCAGTAAGAGGGTGGCAGGTTGGGCCAGGCCAGAGCCTAGATCTGGGGTCAGGAAGGGGTCACAGGGAGGTATGGAGGGGCCAAAAACCCTGGGACCCTGTGGCCACTCCCACCCCCAGTGCCCCCAACCCTCAACTTCGAGTGGCCATGGAGGGTGCCTAGACCCACCCTGCCAAGGATTTGTAAGGTGGCCCTGCCTGGTGCCTCTCAACTCGACTCCCTCAGTGGAGTCTGCCAGGGCTTTCCCGGCCCCAGGAGCAGGAAGCAGGGGGCCCAGGGTAGGCGGTGAGGCACCTGAGAGCTTCACTGCAAGTGAAGAGGGAGAGATGCAGCAACAGAGACCGAGAGATCCAGCAGGGGTGAGACAAGGACAGATGGAGGCAGGGCTGGGGTGGGGCTGGCCCCTGCACTCAGGAAGAGAGCAGGGGCTACCCAGGCAGGGGGGAGCCCCCAACTCAGAGCCCAGGTCCTGCCCATGCCCGCCCCTGCCACCGGGAACAGGGACCCCGGCCTCACCCAGGGCAGCCCCCTCCCAGCTCCAGAGTGTGCCCTTGGGGCCTGCAGAACAGTCCTTCCTCCAGCTGGAACGGGAGAACCAGAATCTGGTGAGTGAGGCACCCGCCACCAAGGCTGCGGGGCTGGCCACAGGCTCTGTGCCCGTCTGGGCAATGGGCTTGCAGCTGTGCTGGACCTGCCAAGCCCCATGCCCTTTCTCCTCTAACCTGAAGGCCCTGCCCCAGCCCTGGCTGCCTCAGTGTCCTACCCAAGAAGCAGCTATAACAGGCAGTCCCTTCTCTCTGCTCTCCACCCCCAGAAAAGGCAGAACCAGGACCTGCAGGAGCAGCTGGGGGCCCTTCTGGGGCCAGGGCAGCAGTTCCTGCCTCTGTGCCCAGAGCACTCAAGCTGCACAGCCCTGGCCTGGGTAAGTGCAGGACAGCAGCCCAGTCCTAGCAGGACCTTGGGTGGCTGTCAGGAATGACCCTGTGACTACATGCACCATACCCCCCAACTCCCGCTCTCAAGCAGCCCATGACCACAGAGGCTGCCCATGACCTTGGGGCTGACCCAAGGGCTTTTCTGCAGCCCCCTGAGCAGGCCGGTCCCCGGTCCCTGGAGGACAGGGCACCTTTGCAGCTGCTGCAGCGGGAGCTGTGCCGAGGGGAGGAGTCCTTCGTGCAGCAGTCCCAGGTGGGCACCTGGAGGTGGGCTGGTGGAGGTGTCCTCTGCGCAGCTGTCCAAGGGGGGGTGGAGGGGAAACAGCTGACCACCCGCTGGCTCTGCCCATGCCCACACTCTGCCCCTCCCCCAGAACGAGCTGCAGCAGATCCGATTGTCCTTTGAGAGGAAGAAGATGGCCATTACTGAGGTGCCTACCTGGCTAAGGTGGGAGGGGCTCTGGGGGACCCACATGGTGGGGCACATCCTCCGGGTGTGACCCAGCCTCTCCCCCGCCAGGTGTGGGATGGCGTGGCCGAGGTACACATGGCTCTGAACAACCAGGCCACCGGGCTCCTGGTAGGTCCCCGAAAGGCAATACCCGGAAGATGAGGGAGGCAAGAACTGGGTGGAGTTAGGGAGATGAGAGGCAGGGGAGTGTGGCAGGGCAGTCAGGGGTAGAGGACCTTTTACCTCCTCTGCCCCCCCCAGAGCCTCAAAAAGGACATCCGGGGCGTGCTGGACCAGATGGAGGACATCCAGCTGGAAATTCTGGGGTGATGTTTGGGAGTGGGGGTGGGGAGGGGCCTGACTGAGTGGGATGGGGGCAGGTGTCCTGGTCGGGATGGGGTGGATGAACCCCTAACTGCTCCCCAGTTCCACAGCACCAGACCAGGGGTCCTGCTGGGCTGGGGCAGGGAACACACATGACCCTGACTGTGCAACACGCGACCCCCCTCCCCGCCCCCAGGGATCGTGCCCAGTGCCGCACCCGGGCCAGGAAGGAGAAGCAGACAGCATGCATAGCGGTAAGCCCCCCACCCTTCTCCCAGTCTCCCACCCTGGAGGCTCTACCCAGGGAGGGGAGAAGTGGGCTTCAGTGAAGGAGGTTCCAGGGTGGTAGCCCCACCCAGAGCCAGGTGAACCGAGTCGTCCAGGGGACGCGGTTGCAGGTGCCTGTCCTGAGCTGGGAGAGCAGGAATGTGCAATACAGGGACCCCTGCCCGGGGGCAGGTTCTGACCCATCCATGCCTCTTCCCCTCACAGAAGGCAAAGCCCCAGCTGGGATGTTCCGAGGGCCTCAAAGGACAGCTCTGGTAGGTGGCTGTGTAAGCTTGTGGGCAGAGCCCAGTTCCCCAGGACCATCCCGAGGGCACCCCTGTCCCCCTGACAGCCGCCGCCCGCAGGCTGCTGGCCCTGAGGCTGCTGCTGGGTGCCGTGCTGGCCTGCACCGCCGCCTACGTGTACGTGGTGGACCCTGCGCCCTTCGAGGGGCTAGTGCCGCCCCTGCTGAGCCGTGCTGCTGTCTGGAAGCTCCGGGCCCTGCTGGGCCCGTTCCTGCGCCTCGAGGTGGACGACTTCCTGCCCTTCTAGGCGGGAGGCCCAGCGGCCCCAGCGAGGAGGAAGCCAGGCGGCCAGCGCGGCCCCCAGCGCCCAGCGGCCGCGCCGGCCCCTATCCACAGCACTGCCGAGCACCTTGCCTGCCAGGAGCCACGGAGAAGGGTGGAGGCGGGGTCTGTCCTGAAGGCTGGGCCTGCGGCCGGACATATAGTGGTGACACACGCTGCATGTGAGCTTGTTTCCATGGAAACGGGGTCAGGAGGCTGTGCTGCATCCTGAGGCTGCTCTCTCAGTGGGGGTCCCTCAGGGTGACACCCCGACCTTGGCCCTCCGTGCCCCATCTGCCAGCTGGACAGCAGCCCCTCCACAGGAAGCCCCCAACCTGCCCTGGACACCAGGAGGGCTCTGAGCAGAGGATGTCGAAGGAGGGTCTCCACTGAGAGTGAGGAATGGAGAACCTCATGCCTCTTCCCTCATCGGGGGTCAGGTTCTCAGACTGAATCTGCTGACCCTCTGACCTCATACCTCTCACATAACCCTCTGTCTCTGTCTGGAAGACTACACCTGCTCCCCACATCCACCTGGCCACCACCCACCTGGTCCCCCTCCCCCTCTCCCACCTTCCACCCTCCGGCCACCTCCCGTTCCTTTCCCCTCCCCAACCCTGGGTCCCTGCCCAGTCCAGTCTCCTGGCACTGCCCCAAGGCTCGGAGGACAGGGGCACCACATTGGTGGACAGAGCCATGGAGGTAAACACCAAAAATTTTATTCAGGGCATTAAATTGGGGCAAGGAATACCTTTTAGAACATAGAGAATAGCTTTGTGGCTTGTTCATCCCCAAGTGGGAGAAATAGAGCTAGCTGCTGCTCAGGCAGGAAAGGGCTGGCCTGGGCTCCGCCCTGCCCCTGGGGGTGGCCGGGCCCAACTGGCTGGGGACTGCAGGCCTGTGGGCCGCAGGGCCCAGAGCTCCCCAAGCAGACATTTCAGAGTAAAGGAGTGAAGACTGCCCGGGCAGGGCTTGGGCAGAGCCGGCTAGCTGCGCTGGGCGGCCAGGTCTCTTTCCACCCTGGCAGGGCTTGGAGGGCTCAGCAGGCTAGCAACTCCATGAGGTTAAGGCATATCTGTTCATGTGCTGGGTTCAGGGAGGGGGCAGTGCCGCCTTAGGCAGCAAGGGCAACCTAAGACCCCCCACCCCAGCCCAATCACAGAGGCCTGGACTCCCTGGGGCAGAAGTGGCATCTAAAGTGCTTGGTCAGGCGGGGAGGTCGGGTTGATGGCATGACTCCTGGGGTGTTGAACTCCCTGCAGCAGGTGGGGACTTCCTGAGGTGGGTAGGCGCAGGGTCATGGGCTCCAGTGGGCTGGGAGTCAGTCTTGGTGTGGCTGGTAAAGAGGGGACTTCCAGCCCATACCCTGGGGTTTGTGGCAGCCTGGCCTCCCAGACTATCTTCCTGGGCTGGCTGTCCCAGGACCCACAGATGCCTACTTGGTGTCCCGCTCGGGCCCCGAGAATCTGGGGAAAAGGCTGGAGGCGGCCAAGTGCAGACGGCACACAGCACCTCGGGGGGACGCCCCAGCAGCCGGGCTCCAGGGGACCCGCAACGGTGGGAGGTCCTCAGGGAGGCCAAGGTGGCACAGGTGCAGGCCGGGGGGCACCCTGGGAGGGCCACGCCGCCCCCATCCTCGGCTGCAAGTGCCGATCCGCCCCCTGAGGGCCGCAGCGTCCCATGAGAGAGAAGCAGAAAGGTGGAGGTCAGCATAGGGCATAGCTGCCCAGCGCAGGGTCCAAGGCCCAGGGGCCAGCACCTGCCCCCACCCCCCAATCTCTGCCCAGCTGTCACAGCCCTGAAAAGCTGTGTATTCCCGATGCCTCCACCCCCAACATTTAATAGGTGGTGGGGGGTGGTCCAGTAAATGCAGCTGCAGGGCATGGCAACAGCCCCCACAGGGCCCCCAGCCAGCAGGTAGCCCTGTATGCACCTCCTACTCCAACTCCCCTAAGTCCTTGGATTCCTAGGGGGACCCTGGGGCAGCTGCAGCCCCAGCCTTTCTCTAAATGCCCTGCTACTGCCAGGGGTGACGAAGACCCAGGGAAGCCGCACACTTGTCAGCCAAAGACCCATGGACCAGCCCCTGCCTCCAAAGGCCTCCAACTTGGCTTAAGTCAGCAGAAATGCCCACAAGGAATGTCTGACCCCATGCCACCAGCCACCACCTCGTCCAGAGCCTGACTGGCTCTGCCCCCCACCCCGGAGCCCCTGAGTTGCAGCAACAGCCCTGGCCTTGCTCAAGGAAAGGATAGAAATGACTCTTTTTCTTTTTTTAATAAAATTATAGATATATAGATGTAGATATAAAAACATAAAACAGATACAACGCAAGCGGACGCTGCTGTGTGCTTACTCTCGGGTCCCTGGTGCCAGGCAGAACTCGGACCCCCTCCCCATGTGCTTCCCACGCAGGCGCCAAGGCTATGGCGGCCCCGGCTCTGATGCCTTGGGGTGGGGACTCACGTTTGGCGGGACTGGGCTCCTGGTCTCAGAGCCCGTGTGGCAGCATCCGGCCTGTGCCTGCTCCCACCTGCCCCATCACCTCCCACAAGAGCATAAAGCAGAGGTTAAGGCTTCAATGACAGCGAGATTCCCGGCAGTGGGGGCATTGGGGGCCCGAGCTTTAACACATGGGACGTGGCATGGCAGCTCAGCGCAGACACGGGGACACGCCCACCAGCTAGGCGAGACGGGACACACGGAGCTGGGACCCCACCCACAGCTGGTGGTTTGTTCGTCTGTCCACCTGTCTGTCAGAACCCAGAGCAGTCCTGGAACTGGGTGCCCATGGGCCAGGGCTGGGCTCCCTGCAGAAGAATCGGCCTCGCCAAGCTACAAACTTCTAGCCGGTCCCTGAAAGGCAGCGGGTTAGGAGCAGCCGGGTAGGCCCTTGGTCCAAAGACAGCCAGGGGCCCAGGCTTGTCTGTCCATCTCTGGGCCACAGTGACCTGTCTGCAAGGGGCGTGGGTGAGGGCTAGCCTGGTGACAACCTCGAGTGCCCCCTCAAGGCCCCAACTTGTGGCAGGGCCACTGACACATCCTGCAGCCCATGGCCCTTGGCCAGGCCACGCCCTGGTGAGCACGTAAGTGGATGGACAGGCGGAGGACAAGGGACAGACTTGTGGAGGCTTGGTTCTCTTTCCTGCTGATGCGTCCATACCAGGCCTGGGCCTCCTCCCCAGCAGAGAAGTCAGGAGTGGGGGCAGCTGCTGGGGGTTGCTGGTCCCCGAAGTGCCACAGTGGAGGGTGGCAGTCAGTCCTCACACCGAGATCTCGTACGTGGTCCCACCCACGCCGGACACCTTCTTAACAAGTGTGTGCCGGGCAGGGCTGGTGGAGGGCCCCGGGGGGCCGGTGGCAGGCCCTAGGCGTGCCAGACCCGGGGACTGTCCATTAAGCTTACTTGGGGGGGTCTTCAGCTGAGGGTGGTCCCTGCATCAAAACAAGCACATACATGCACACACACAGTGAACACGGGACCATGGCAGGACAGAGGCCAGCGGAGGCAACAGGACAGATGATACAGACGGAGCCCTGGGTAGCCCCTGCCTCTGAGCTCAGAAAGTCCCACTCAGAAAATGGTGCAGAGCTGTGGGGAGGGCTGTGCTGTCACAGGACAGGCAGATGTCAGAATGGCTGTCATGTCCCCAGCCCAGGTCTCTTGGTCCCTCCCATTGGAATAGACCATAAGCATGGGGAGGCAGGTGGATACTAGCCAGTCAAGCCCCCGGCCCTGCCCCAACTTGGGTGCCCTAAGCTGGGGAGCCCGGTGGGAGTGTGTGGCCCCTCCCCTGTTCCGTTAGGAAAAAGAGGGGCCACACTCCTACCCCACAGCCTGCCCAGCAATGACCTCTCTGTCCAAACAGTCATGAAGGCAGGAACCTCTCCCTCCTTCAGCTGCCACTCTGCCTCTCTGTGCAACTGCCACCCTGACCGAGCCTTCATTCAAGGCGGCTGGAGTGATGCCCTCATGATGCTACCGCATTCAGCATGGGACCCGCACACAGGCTTGGTTCTTGTACTTGGACCTGACCTGCCAGGGAAATTAGCCTGGCATTCTCAGTTACCCTCCTATTAGGGGGACCTGAGACCAGCCTGCCCCTCCAGTCCCAGTTTCCCCATCTCTGAGCAGGGAAGCCTCTGCTTCCAGGAGCTGTGTGCCCCGCCCAGGGCAGCACACTGTGCTCTGGGGTAATGTCCCCCAGACTCAGCCTCCTGGACAGCGACAGGGCACCATCTCCTGAGGAAGAGGCCCTGAGGTTCGCCGCTCATGGGTCTGAGTTGGCTGGGGGAAAATGTGGGGCGCTGGGCTCAAGATGCAAATCCTCCTGCACTCTGGGACCTGTCAGGGCATCCTTGGAGCTGGGCAACCCTCCAAGTGCCACAAGCCTCAAAGGCAGGGGAGGCCCATCCCACAGGTGGCCACAGACCTCCTGGACAACCCACGTGTGATCAGCCAAGAGGCCCCTCCACAGGCGGTTGGACACCTGCCCCACGTGAGGAAGCCCGCAGCACCCCCAGCACCCACCTCTGCATGGCCAGTGAGGGCGGCGGTTCCTGGAGGTCCGTGTGGATGAAGGCGACGGCTTTGGGGCCCATGTAGGAGGGTGAGCGGGGAGTGCTGGGAGGGGATGGTGGGCCCTGGCGCAGGGGAGACCTCTGCGAGCCACTGCCTGGCCGGGGCCCTGGGGCGTTGTTGTTGGCCAGGTCAGCCTGCAGGGAGGAGGAAGAGGTCCGAGGAGCCCGACTAACAACGCTAGACAGTGAAGACAGAGACGTCTGCAGTGCAGGGTTGCGGGCACCTCTGAAGCTGGGGCCAGCCACCAGGTCGTCTCTGGAGCCATAGTGTAGTGCAGGGCCACGGGGGCCCTCGGACAGCACACTGGCCTGCTGCAGGCTGTAGGAGCTGGGTGCGTCGTAGACGCCTGAGTCGCCAAAGAGCGAGTCGGCCTGAGAGCGCAGCAGCCGCTCACGCTCCTCCCTATCCTTGCGCTCCTGGATAGAGGCCATGATGGTCCTGGACAGGTTGTCATAGCGCACAGGAGAGGGCTCCCTCGGCCGGGGGCCCAGCACGGGGCTAAAGCTCCGGGGCGGGGGCCGTGGTGGGTCACCTACAGCCCCAGGGTGCAGGTAGGGCGAGCGATAGCTGGCCATGCCAGCCGAGGGGTGGGCTGGGCACGCGTGGCCACTGGGCGAGCCGGGGTTAAGTAGGCTGTCATAAGACAAGCTGCCATTGCGGTTGGGCAGCGCATGGGGGGCAAAGATGCTGTGATGGGGTGTTGGGGGCCCACCCTCGGAACGCAGGGGCTGCAGGGCTATACGGTCCCCACCCCGCCGGCTTGCAGTCTTGAGGCTCAGGGAGCGCAAGGCCCCTGAGAAGGTATCGGAGGCGCTGAGTGGTGGAGACGGCGGGTAGGCTGTGTGCACGCCACCAGGTGTGTAGTCAGGGAGGTCCAGGTTAGGCTCAGACGTGAAGTCAAGGCTGTGGATGCTGTCCTCCC